TTTTTTATTTTAAAAAATTCTATATTAAAAATTCTTAAAAACCTTTGAAGATTTTTGAAAATTTCTCCGGAAATTTTCTAATGTCTGAACCAACCTGATTTAAAAACTTTAACAATAATAATAATCTCACTGAATCTTATAAATCTATCCCAAATTCAAGTTTATCTTTTGATTTATTCATAATATCAGATCTTTTATTAGAACTTAAAAAAAAAATCTAATATTAATAGAAATACACTTCTTAAAGGTAAATACTATATTCCTTAAATTGTAATGCAGACAAATTTGTTTACATATTTAAAATTTTAAAATTTAATTTTTATAACTTACTTATATTATAAAAAATATAGTTTAAGATATTTTTTATTAATTTTATTAAGTAAAGAAACTAAATAAAACTCTTTCTACTAATCCTTTTGCCAATCCAAAAAACAGACATTCTCAAAAGATTTTATGTCTTTATGATAATAAAGTTTATATACTCTCCTTAACAACACTGGTTTTCTAATTAGCAGAGTAAACAGAAGCTATCACTTGTTTTATTTTTTTTTTTCAAAACACTCTTCTTGTTTATTTTTGCGATTAAATACAAGAAATCTACTTAAAAGATCTATGGCAAGAATACCTTTATAGGAAAAAAACTAACAAGAAAAAATACTCTCCAAAGACCCTCAAAAGATTTAAGAATCTAGAAAAACAAGAATAAAGAAGTTTCCAATCTTCTCATTATTTCTTTGGCTTTTCACTTTTTTTTTCTCAAGTATACTTTCTTTTTTTCTGAGAAATTTTGCCTACCTCAATTTGACTTAAATTTTTTGATTACACCAGATTTCCTAAAAGATGATTGGTTAAGGCCATGGATTGGTTAATCACATTAGCTACAAAAAAAGTAAACAAGACATATACTCCTCACATGTTCCTAGTTGTGCAATATCAAACCAATAATGTGATTGGTTTCTGAAAGAATTGGATAGTTTTTAGTTGAAAGAGTAACATGGAAGTATTAGGTAAAGTTGAAGTTGTGAGTAGAAGAGAAGTGATACCTTTTTGTTTTCATCCTTTTATTTTCTTTTTTCTTCCTTATTTTTTCTTAAGGACAAGAAGTAGCAACAAGGCCTAGGTCTTATCCCAATCTGATAACAAGTTGAAGTATCAATATTTATCCTGAAAATGATTGAAGAAAGAGATCTTGAAACTATCCATCAGTTAAATGAAGCAATAATTCCAGAAAATATGACTTGAAAGAGAAATCAACAATAGAAAATCAACATTCTTTCTGATTAGAAGTCTTCAAGTGTAAAGTTTCAAGAAATACTCTCCTGGAAGTGTTCTTAAATGTTCTTGGACATCAATTACTCCAATGGAAATTAAATAGTTTGACTGGCCACAGATAGTGAGAAGTGAGAAATCATAAGGGACTTGGGTTTTGAAGTTTACAAAGATGATCTCTTAAATAATAGTTAGAATAGACAATAACTTTTTTTTTTTCTTTTTTCCAAAAAATTCCTTTTTTATTCCTTTTTTCCTTTGCATAGTTACTACAAGAGAGGGGAACATAATTCGAATTTATAGTTGTGATTGTAGAGGTGATCTGCAGGTTTTGATCCTATTAAAAGTTTGAGATCTTAATTCCATTTTTTAGGGAAACAACATATCACTCCCATAAATCACATTTAGAAGCTTCAATTGTTGATGGATAAGTTGGATCAAGGAAATTTATACTTTGCATGTATTCTCAACTTATAATTATTCTTTATGATTTAATAATTAAATAATACCAACCTGATTGCAGGATTAAAAAAAAAAAAAAATTAACTTTATTAAGTAAAAAATTAAAACTTTATTAAAAATTTTCAAAATAACTTTAAACTTTGTATTTAAAAATTTTAATATAAAAAATTATATGAAATTTAATATATATTTAAAGTAAAAAATTTTTATTTTTAATACAAGTTAAAATTTTTATAATTAAATCATTAAAATTGTAATAATTAAAGTTATTCTTTGCCAATAATTCTACAAAACTAATTATGATTATATGAACTTTAATTTAAAAATTTTTTAAATTTATCTAAGATCAACTTTTATTAAAAAATTTTTTTTAAAAAATTAAAAATTTTGCTTTTAATTAAATTCTAAATTTTTATTAAATAAATAAAAAATAAATACTATTAATAGATAATATATAATTAAAACCAATATTATATAAATTTTTAGAAAAATATTTTGATTATATAAAAACATAAATAAAAAGCAATTTTTTAGTTAAAAAATTTCAAACATTATAAAAAAAATGTCTTACAATTTAAGGAATAATTGATTTCAATAACAATCTTATCAAGTATAATAAATGTCTTATAGATTAATTTTCCAATAACTTATGTTCAATAACTTTTTGCAGCATTAATGTCTTTTTATTTTGAACAATTAATAAAATTTTACATAATTTCAAGTATCAGCTATATATTATTATAGAAGAACTTGCAATTTTGCCATCAAAGAATAAACTTATTCTTTAACCAATAAATATTACATCTATTTTATTATTCTTCTTTCTATTTTAAGCAATTAGATAATATAATATCTATTATATTCAACTTTTTAAACAAGATATAATTATTAATAACATCAAAATCATAATAGCTAATCCAGAACTTTTAATTAAAAACATACTTCAAATAATTTATAATATTATTCTATGATTTTCCTCTTAATATATTATTGAAATCTGAAATAATAAAAGTATAATCCAATCTCTTTTCAACTTTTCAAGAAAACAAATAAAAATTAACTTTGCTGTTTTAATTTCTAGAATTGAATATTTAACAATACAAAAGTCTATCACCTTTAGTCTTACTAAACTCAAATCCAAATCAAGAACTATCTATTTCATACAATAGAATAATCCTTCTTTATATTTTTCAAAGAATATAATTATAAACAATACAATCTGAAAAGTTACTTAAAATAATGCAAAAAAGTTTTTAGTATTATCAGATCTTATATAATCTGTGAAAGCTTCTTCATATTTAAAACATTCAATTAGTTTTATAGTACTCTTGGCTTCAAAATAATTAACTTATCCAACAGATATATAAAAGGATTTTATAATAACAGTTATAGTAACTTGGTAGCCTTTAGAATTAAAATACTCTTAGATACTTTTTCTATACAAAAATTTCTCCATAACTTGTATTTTGAACATTATAAGAATCTATACTGTTCTAGATATAGCTTCTGTTTAGAAAATATTTTTTACACTTTTAACTACTCCAAAGCTAAAGAAAAAGTTAAGCAAATAATCAATTCAATCAATCTTATACTTCATTTAAACAATAATAATTATTCAATTTTCAATATATAACAAGTAATAGAACTAGTATATGGATTTATTACCAATATTTTTTCTATAATTAATATTTATAACTGGATTAAAGTATCTAATAAAGCCCTAACTTTATCTTACAACCTTATATAGAAGCCTTATTATAATATAGTAAATACTTTCTTTCTATTAATATAAAATGAATTAAAGTAGCAAAAATAAAAAATAAAAATAAAAATAACAATAATAATAATAATAACAGTTACAATGTCAATATATTACCAATCAATATTCCTTTTCTTTATATTACCAACTCAATCTTTCTATTAAACAATATTACAGTTAATATTTTTACAATTGTTATAGAAACTCTAATTCATAGTAATTACAATATTGTAACATATATTTCCAATCTTATTACTAACTATTATAACTTAATTTCTTTAAACAACTTTGAATAGATACTTATAATAAATGTTTGGTATTATTTAATTGATATATTAGTTTTAAAATTTCTTTTTTAGTAAAAGTTAGATAATTACTATAAACAAGTTAGCATTTAACTTATTGCAATTTGTATATAAGATTTGTTGTTTTTTTTTAAATATATATCTTGTAATATACAAATAAATAAAGAAATAATATTTATTTACCTTCCAATAATAATAATAATAAAATAATTAAAGAATTGTTTTTTTTTGGTTTTATTCAATTTTTAAAATTTAAAAAAACTATAATTAATCAACTTTTTTAAAAAAATTGATATAGAATAATTAAGCTATATTGATTTTTAAATTATTAATATAAACAAAATCATTCTAATCTTATAATTTTACAGAATTAAACTATAATTCAAAATCCAAATACTATATATATTTTTTATTAGTGTTATTTAACAAATATACTGTATATTGTATATGTAATTACTAATATAATTAATAGTTAATTATTTTTCTTTTTGAGTTTTTAAAGTTTTTCATATAATATTTGTAATCAATTTACTTGATATAATATAATAAAAATTAATAAAATTCATGTATTTAGAGTATTTGCTAAAATAAAATAATTTTTTTTAGAATTTTTATTTTCAATCTAATATTATTAATAAATAATATAATATACTGTAATTAAATTAAGTATATATACAGTATGTATTGTTTTATATTGTCAGTTGTTTATTAAATTATAAGTCAGAGTAAAAATTTAAAAAAGTCCATAAAGACTTTTGCACCAGACTGTATCACAATAATCTTTTGAATTTTCTTATATCTATTAAAAGCAATAAATAGAGCTCAATATACTCACAAAGACCAACTCTATAGTTAATACGAAAAAACAAATCTATTTAATAATTATACTAATACTAATATATACAGTATATGTATAATGTGACATTATAAACTAATGAACGTCATTGTCCAATATCATTTGATCGCACATAATGCTATTTTCGCGATAATGTTTTAAAGTACGTTTCGGTCACTTCGTCTAAAATACCTTTTAATTTCTCCAATGTTTCTTTGCCAGCTTTCAATTGAGGATTCTCCATTGTTTGATTTAATAATGACTTTACGTTTTCAATTATGTTCCAGGGAAGACAATGAGATGCTACCTTCCCATCATGATTATTCACCTCCTGGAATTAGGAAAAGGTAAAAGTAAAAAAGTCAGAATAAAAGTAAAAAAAAAAGAATTGTATAGTTTGTGTCACAAACCATTTCCAGTAACTCTGAAACAGCCGTGACCGCGTCAGATAGGCGGCCAAAATCCATCAATATTTTGATGTGTTCTCCTTGATTATATGTCTGCATGATTAAAAAAAAGGGTACCATTATTTGACGCCGTTAATATCATTTAAGAATTAGTAAGTCGATGGGCAAATACCTTGTAAAACGATGTTAACCATTCGGGAATACAAATTTGAGAATTGACTGTTAGCATAGTTCTCAGTACAATAGCTCTGTAACGGCAAAGCGTTTCTTCTCTCTTGTCGTACTTGTCCAGATATTTTCGTAACATGGCCCACGCTTTATCCGTTTCCGTACCGTGTATAAGTTGTGTGACTTCGTTATTTCTAACCCAAGATGTCCTGTGTTCACTTTGAACAAAGAGATCCAAGAGAATTATAAAAACTTGAAAACTTCTCCGCATATTGCAACATTGAACAAACCTTGAATCAGTGTTCGAATTCAGTGGTAATAAACATTTCCGTGTCATTCTTTCAAATACGTCATCCAATGGAATTTCAAAAAGTTTGGCAATCGAGATGGCCAAATCAAACTTTCCAGCATAGCTGCATAGCTTGACCGCCTCTTGCGATTTTATTGGAGTGACTATTGATGATTTGAAAATTTGATTTCGAGCACATGGTTATCATATGTCCATTACGGAATGATATTTTAATCACATCATTAATCACCTTTTTCCGCAAATTCACGTCCTAACTCGAGTCTGGCCATCACCAACGTGTATGACTTTTTTAGATCTGGTAGTGATATTATTTCGGTGATGACTTTGTTTTCATCTTTTTAAAAGGAACATTAAAAAAGTCAATTTACGCAAACGACAGCAATACGAAATTAGAATTATGTTTTAAGGACCGTTTACCTTTCGAAGCTTCGTCATATTTTGTTCTTTTTCGCGACTGTCAAAGAATGAATGATGATTAAATTACCGACTTTTAAATGAATAATGGACAACTTTATACGTTCAAACTTACTCGATCATCGTCACTGGGCGAAAGGGTTATATAGTGGAACCACGCGAGGGACACTGGCGTTACCTGTTCCAACGCGTTAATGGCTGAAAGATAGCTGGAGGCTAAATCTGTCATGGCCTTTTGGAAATTATCAAATACTAAGCTGCTGTCTTCTATTTTCTTGGCATATTGATATATGATACGAGCGGCTTTGTGTTGAAACCATAAGAATTATAGTTAACCAATACTTTCGAGAAAGTAACAGCGTGTTCGAAGATCATCACTCACCATCTCTGAATTTTTTACAGGAAATATAGTATGAATAACAAATCATCGAGTAATTTGGAGCCTCGGTTGCAACATGGCAGCGTGCATGGAATTCCAGGATGTTTTCCAAATCTCCTCGCAGATCAAGAAACGGATATTGTTGAAGGCTTATGCTCCGTCTTTTCTCACACAGGTTGACCACAAAGGGACGAAGGTTAGCTCGTCGGCTAGAGAACAGAAAAGATTTGATTTGATAAGGGACTTGGAAAAATCTGTCATAATAATGCACATAGTTGTCACATTTGTTCACTTACGATATTAAACTTGGATTCATTATCATCGCGTTATATGCTTCGTCAAACAAGTCAGTCTGCATCGCATTGGCGAAAATCTTTGAGCACATCTGAGAAACCAGATCACGACCTTCTGGGCTTTGACGCTAATCGAATTAGGTAATATATGTCTCAATCCATATTTTTTTTCCACAAAATGTCAGATCGATCAAATTTACCTGCTCTTCATTGAATGCTTCTAAAGCAAGTTTACAGAATTTAATTACGTGAATCGGCTGCTCACAATTCTCGAATAGTGTCGCGACATGTCTGAAATAACCGGTTAAATTTCCCGGTAGATAATCCTGTGATGGAACAATCGGTTCGCCAGTGTAAGATGGAAGCGACATATCGTTTGCTGAACAGATAGGAAGTTAATAGAAAATTCTTCAACACAAAGCAAAACGATTAGATGACACAACTTACTAAATCCCGATCCAGCTCTAATAAATTTTTCGGCCGCTTTATCAAATTTGCGTTCCTTCAATAACTGCTCACCATAGAGATATAGACTTGAGGGAGTTTCTAGCAAAAATTGAATGTACTGATGAAGATGCTCCAAAAAACCGGAGACATGTAGCAATTTTCCAAATTTGGAATAGGGCTGAGGTGTCATGACCATCAATTGCGGTGAATTCTTGGGCAGGAATTCAATTTTGTCAAGCAAATCTTTCACGCCACGCATTATTATCACAGGCAAAAATTGTATCCGAAAGCTTAAGGCCAAGGGAAAATGTTGGTGAATGAGGCTGTGAAGTAGGCTATAACGCAAGTCAGGCAGTTCCGGTACATTTTTGGTGTTGGCCATGCTCAGATCGGAGAACTTTTCAAACATGCCATCTTCAGCTGTTAGTGGTCTATCGATATTGGCATCGGAATAAGCGGATTGTTCCGTTATCCATTTCAGTATCATGAATATATAGAGAGTCGACATGCTCATCGACACCCTTTGTTCCATTTCCAGGTGAGGTTTTGTGCAAATCAAAAAGACCAGCAGAAGGTACAAATTACGCGCTATTATATAATGAGAATGAATAATATCTGCAGTGGACGATGAAATCAAAGCGTCCATGAAAACCGTTGTTTTAATCATTTCCCCAGTTTTATCACTTTTTTCAAAAACAACGTCATTCAAAGCTGTGAGGACAATAAGAACAATCCTTTCCAGTCGTTGACTCGTTTCCAGCAACTTCCATATTCTCACCTTTAGACCTGGGTGTAACCGTTGATTCAAGTGACTTTCATAGAATTCCATGGCACTCTGCCTCACCGAAGTCAAGTAAGGTTTACTGAGTGCTTTGAAAATCGCGCGTTCAAGTAATAACAAGTCAACGTCTAAAAAGGGCGAAACGATCAAGTTCATTGACTTAAATAACCTGATCATGTCCGAAGGCTTGATTGTTTCTGATTTCGGATACGTGACCGATAGTTGACTCGTCGAACGAATGGATAGATTTAGGAATTTGAACTCGTCGCTGGTATAATAATGAAATAGTTCCAACGTGTCACAAACTCGGATGGTTGATATGCTATCCTGTTGAGTCACGGCGACGAAGTGACCCGCTTGAATGATTGATAGACTAAGCGGAAATCGAGAGGTTTCCTTAACTTCGATGCATAATAATATGAAACGCACCCATTCCTCGATGACAAGTTGTTTATGATCATTCTTGAGTGGGATGTCATTCTCCGGATCGTTTTGTAGACGAATATGTTTTGCGACCACCTGTTTGACCTTCTGTTTCAGATCGAAGGTCGTGTTTGCGATCATAGATTCGTATTCTAAAAGGTCTTTTTCTTGCACTTCCTCCGAATCTTGCGTTTTAAAATGTCGAACATATTTTTCCAGCGCGCGATTGATTATCGAAGCCGAGAATCGTCCAGGACAGAATAAGTAATCCGTGCATACCTTGACATGGTCCGTCTGAAGATCCGGCAGTTTATGCAAATATCCTTTGTCATGATTTTTGATTGGAGCTCTAGCGACGTACTCCCATCTTTTACCAATGATATCGTCATCATTGTTTAAACTCGAGATCATATCATAGCCGTTATTCCCAGAGGCATCGTAGTAAGTAAGATGAAAATGTGTGTAGGTTAATACCGTCTGACGTTTCCGTTTCCACAGGGCCCACAATCTCCATTCCCGCCTCTTAGTCTCACCGTTCCCATTGTTCAATTCATTTACTTCAATCTTGCGGGAAGGCGTCAGTTCCATGTCCACCAAGTCGTAAAACGGATAATCACCGCTTCTTAATTGCTCACACGGATTTTGATATGAACGTCTAATCAAATTAAGTTGTTTCAGACCTCCCGAGGCATCCACCATCACACGATAGATCCCAAAAAAACCGTCTCCTGACGTCGGAATATATACAACAAAATCGAATGACATCGAATCCCGAATAGGACTTGAGGTCAAAACTCTTATGAATTTCTGTGGAGTGGAGGGCAGTGGATTTAGCGGATTAAATTCATTCAAATACGTCATGAGAACATCATCTGAGTCATTTAAATCGGTTTCCATGTCATCTTCCTGAACAGAAATTGGATATGTCTCCAAATGCTTATTCGAATTCAACGACCATATCACAATACGACGGTCGCGACGTAAGTATATAAGATATAAGCTAGAATTCCCGTGTACGTGTGATGTCAGTGATATCGGCTGTTTTAACGTTCCATCTTCGTCGTTGAAAGTCGTATGACTGTCATCAGTCGTCTGATGACGCCGAGAAGGAAGGATATAATTTTTTATTTGGTTGAACAAAGAGCCTATGAGCTGACTTTCTCGGAAATCATCTTAATAATGCACGATAAACGGTTGATTAACAAAAATTTATTAGAAAAAATGTCGTATCCGATATATCACGCGGAGATTCAAATCTCGTCCAAAAACGCGACCGCGTTATCGACGTGTGACCGAATCGCGAAGTTTCATGAAAACGTACCTTCGTCGGTCTGTTCAATTACCCCAAGAGCGTTAAAATGAGGTATCGGTTGATGCTTCAGATATATGATGGTCCCTTCTTTTGAGCTAACTACGATATTATCAAAATCCACACCATGCACCATAAAAGGTGTTCTTCCTTGAAGCAACGTTACTTTATAACGTCTGTAAAAGTTTTGTGGTAAATTTTTTGTGAAAAGTGACCCTAGTGGTAAATCAAGGCGATACAAGACACCACAAGATATTAATACTATACAACGCAAAGCACGTGTTGCAGGGTCTGTAAAGAAGGTAACGTGAGGAAGTATGTTTGCTGAAAATCTGAAGCGAACAGGTAAACAAGTGGCTCCGGGCTGATTAATTGTCGTCCCTTGAGAAGGGATTGTGAATCTTCTCAATTCCAGTACACAACCAGACTCTATGACTCTCCATACAATGTAGCACGTTTGGTCGGTCTCCGAGTGGTACACGGATCCCTGTGTTGCAAGTTCATCGACAACATCTGATTCGAAACCAGTACAATCTTCAGCAGGTAATTCGTGTTCTATAAAATCACCAGTTGACGTAAAACTCTCGAGTGGTACTTCGGTGTTCTTGTATAAATAACGGGCATTCATATTTATAGTCAGATCTTTGCCGGCACACGAAAAAGGATAGTTAAAGTTAAGTGAAAACGATGTCCGCACTTATTTTTGAGAATCATAGCGTTTAGTTTATATCTATCTCACTAAACGATAATGCCCATTGCGTAACCAATAAATCACGATCATTATATAAGCAAACATTAAGTATCTGATATTCACCCACCAAATCGGGGATATTGTTATTACCCACACAAATCGACGATTAATAGGTTCTCTCTGGAGTCAAATACGAAAATGGCAGATAAAAAACCCAAACTGTCGGACAACCTGTTAGGACTAAAGGTATATTCTCGAATATTGAATCTTAATATTTATATCAACCTTTCATCATATGATATGATATATTTCTTGAATATAGTTTATGCAACGCCAGATGCTAGTTAAGGAAGGAAATGGAAAAGTTAATTCAATAACAACCGACGATTCACAGTGGATAGCCCTTTACGACGATGCAAAAATTGGGAAGCCGTAAGAGTTCTTTATAAATTCTTTTATGACTCAAGGATTATAGCACGCGTATTTGATCACGAAACTCGACCTTCGGCACAGGAAGTTCAACGTGAAATACATTCCGAGTTATTTGTCCTTCATGGACTCAGAAATCAAAGGACGATTGACTTTTGGGAATCGCAGTACGAAGGATGAAAAGGATGAGGTAAACATTTTTTATTCATTCAATTGCTTGTTCATACAAATATTTATCTCAACTATAAAAACCCTTAGGAACTCGGGCATACGGTAACAGCAGACGATTCATCCGAAAACTTTCAGAGCGACAGGAGCAGGCATGAACAGTCACAAGAGACATCTACTAAACATGAGAAATCGAAAGGTAAACGTGAACGAACCCAAGAAATAGAGGGATCCGTTAGTCTGCGAAAATTTCCTAAAATCAATGACTCTGGATTTATGAAGCCTCCAGAGTGATCAAGGCGTTTGTGATAATTCTTCACTGACTTTCTCAAAATCGACTTGTAAATATAATATTAACCCGCTCAACAAAAGATAGAATACATGGCGCAAAAACGTTGCAATGTATCGATGGGATTCGCGTTTAATGCTCAACGAACATATCGAGTGTTTTTTGTGACGCTTTCGATGTACACTTTAATATACTCTGTTGCGTTTTACCCCGGCGATAGCTGGTCACGCAAAAGAGGCGCATGAATAGTCGTTGGATCAGATCTTTTGCCTTAAGATGGATCGATAGAAAGATATGTGATTAATATATGAAGAAAAAGATTAAAAAAATCAAATTCGTTATATCTACGTCTCAATCTTACTCATACCTTTGTCCTATCCATGAAAGCCGCCCGCATGTCCACTATTTTTCCATGTAAATGCCTTAGATATTTTATAATTTCCTCCACCTTATCCTAAAATATACAAGAAATTAAGGGACAAATTGAAAAGTGCAATGCCGATGAAACATGCGATACCTTTTCAGACAATATCTGTGTTGCATCGTCCATTGTATAGCCTAGAAATAAAATGTTATTATATAATTCCCTGTAATTTGTCTCGTTGTGAATCTTGAAGGTCTTTACTCCATCCTTGAACAAATCTGAAAGATGTTCTATTTTTGGAGGTTTCGAAACGTCGAGCTGTTTTGATTCATAGAATTAATGTTGGTGTATGTTCCATTATACATTTTTGAATAACACCGACCTCGTCAAGATCAAATTTTATAGAACTGACTGAGAACAGGAAATAAAAGGATAAAAGTCGTCGAATCAATCTACCCCGGGTTGAAACAGGAAGATTACTCAGCATAGCAACCTTAAATTGGGTATCGTTCCCACATGCTGAGATTATATCTTTACAAACGAATTTAGCCTTGATCATTAAAAAAAAATGTAATGTATATAAGATTCTCACGCCGTTTGCCTATTGGTACAATAATATTTCATAAATCATCCTCACTTGGGAATTCCAATCAGCGTCTTCAAGTCTTTGCAAAAGGGCGTCAACTATCGTCTCCACTTCACCGAGAATAGACGTCATGCGACCGTCTAGAGATAAGCGAAGAATAATAACAATTGCCCGTCTTATTTCTTCAAGATGAGAAAATGATAACCAGCTTTTAAAGAAAAGAGTGAACTATTATTATCTCAAATTAAAAGATCATTTCCATAGGATACATTCATCATTTACCTGTTTTCAAGTAGTGGTGTAATTATTTTCAGCAATGATCTCAAATTTCGAATATGAAGAAATTGAGATTGAAGTTCTATAAAAATTCTTGACAATTGTTACACTTCACTGCAATAAAATGCTTCATGAAAATCATTCAGTTACATACCTGATGGCGAAGATATCTTCAATTGTTCCGCCGGACAATGAAAATCTAGAATCTGCGTTGACGCGCCGTATGACACGAATATGTTGTAAATCAAGGAAAAATGGACACAAACACCTGGTGTAATGTTGAGCTCATTCCTAAAACGTCCCTAAATCAATAGCAGTTAAATAACCAAATTTCATTAGTTGTTAAGGAACAACACGCGCGAGAATTGAAGTGCCGAAAATAAGCAACAACCGTCCGTCACACGCGTCGAGATCAGGTGACCACTTATTTTCGAGGATCTACAATAGTAATAATACTTACGCTGATTTCGGTTAGTCGTTTCAAATTACAAGAAGCTTCTTCAACTATCTCCATATCTTGTCCAAAGCTCACTAGATGAATAAGATAAGACATGTTTATAGTTAATTGAGCGATTTAACGAAAAACTACATAATATGTGTACCTAACTGAAGGAGCCATATGATAATTGCATCAGGTAGATCTAATCCCATTTCATACTGTTGGGGAATCCAATAACTACTTAAAATGTCCTTCAACCTTTCATCATCTGTAAGTATTGCTAGGATCATTAGATTTCTGATTCGGGACATCGAAATAATTTTAATTCACTATTGTATGTACCAGAGGCGGCCAAGTATATTAATGCAAATGCATCGTCTTTCAACTTCGAATTGGGTTTTCGTAAAATTGGTTTAGGTAGATCCTGTCGTTAAAAACAAAAAATGTCATTAGGTATAGGATGTTGGCCTAGACAAAAGATAAAAAAAGTGATCATATGCATAATCACCAGATCGGTATTGATTTCAAAAAACTCTAAGGAATGTTCAGAGTCCATCATATCATCTTCCTCGAAAATCTAGATTAATTAAACAAGTCTAGTTATTTAACGACACGGAACCCCAAGATTCTTTTACACACTTACTTGCTGTAAACTGTCATGTTTTGTTTCCTCATCAAATATGGAAGCAGAAATTTCTGAGCGATTATAATGTTCAAATGGATCATCCATTTCTTCATCCAGCACCTGCGTTCATAACAATTAATCTTTTTTAACAAATATTGATAAATCAGACTTTTCATAATTTATACACACATTCTCCTGAATGGCCTGTTCCAACGCCTGGATGTCATAACCGGCCTTCTCTCTATGCCTTTTTTCTTGAAGAAGAGACGATAAAGAAAATTCGTACGGTCGCTTCTGCAAAAAATGTGTGGAAGATGACGCGTCTCGCAACGGAATATCACCGTGAAGTGGCACAGCCTCTATAGTCGGAACATAATCTTGTTGAATAACACCACGACGAGAACGTGTACTCCGGCGTAAAGTTGTTTGAACATCTTGAAAGCTACGAGCAGAGAGAAACTATTAATAATTTCATCAGGCAAAAGAATCAGTCATTCGCGAATCAAAAAACTTTTCTGCACCAACCTTTCTACAAAAGCTTCTTCCAGATTGCTATTCTGCAAAAGTTCGTCATCGTCGTCGTCCTCAATGATCTTTTTTTAGGAAAAATATTCAATCAAGTAGTTTTCAAACACAAAGATATGTATAATATTTACTTACACTAGGAATGATCTGTAGTGGTTCGTCTTCGTCTTCGTCTTCGTCTTCGCTAATAGTTGAATTATGATTCCTTGAGTTTGAATTACTTGTTAATGAATCTTGTTTAGATTCTGGCGTCGCATAGAATTCGTCCGCCTTAGCCCTACGTGACACTTTATTCTCGGTTCTTCTCTTCCCAATTTTAGAGTCTTCCTTAGTGTTACTAATCGAAAAAAACCAGAATGTTAATGAATCATGGATACACTCGTTCGCGATAGTTTTGAACATACCTCTTTTGAAAATAGCTTGTGATCTGCGGATGACTATACAAAGTATATACTGAGTAAAGAGACAAAAAAAAAGCGCGAAAATTAATGTGAAATCTAACCTGTACACTTCACGTCCAGGTGTCTTTACTTTAACCATATTTATAAATTCTTTTCAGTCTTTTGTAAAAATATGTTTTTAGGACTTTGTAAAGTTTCGTAATTTATCGTACTACAACTACCATATTTGGCTGGGTCGTGAGGTATACGTAGCATAAATCATAAGCTAAACGTTCGAGTCAGGAAAGGTACCACCTAATTTCTCACGCTTATGATGATGATCCCACAGGTGATTCTTTTGCACACATTAGACGAAAATCTTATGTCGTCACAGTAATGCTCAAATTATTTGAACAATCATTTTTTATAAATATAAAATAGGAGTTTTAATTTAAAGCATCTTTTAGGTCTTTATAAAATCTATTTGATCTGGAGATATAGCAAGTTTGCCTATACTGATTGTTTTTTTTTTTTTTTTTTTTTTTTTTGTTTTGTGGTTTTTGTGGTATAGAGTGGGTAGGTTTTTTGGGGT